ATCCATACTATTTCCTTCTCTTTTTTAATCCTAGTATTTCTAGTCCCAGCAATAAACTCTCAGCAAATGAAATAAAATACCCCATTTAAAAAAATAAAATACTTAGAAATAAATCTGATGAAATATGTGCATGAATTTTATACAAAATCTAAAATCAAGCCGGGCCGGGCGTGGCTCAGCAGTTGAGCACCAACCTGGGATCCAGGAGATCGAGGTTCGATTCCTGGTCAGAGCATATGCCCAGGCTGTGGGCTCGATCCCCAGTGACGGGGGTGCAGGAGGCAGCTGGTCAATGATTGTCTCATCATTGCTGCTTCTCTCTCTCTCTGAGCTCCCTCCCTGAAATCAATAAAGATATCTTTAAAAACATAATATAAAATAAAAACTGAGATGCCATAAAAAAGCCTTACAACATGATGCATCTGCCCACACTCACGAGTGTAGTCTTAGTGCAGAGTGGGCTCAGCAGCTCCAGGAGCTGCTTTCTGAACAGTAAATAGCTTTCTGCTGCAGAAGAGGAGCCAGTTTTAACACTCAGGGTCTGAGCTGTGCCTGTTACTTGTCAGAGACAATGCAAAAAACCATTTATGAACCAATACTTCAAGGCTGGGACCTGCTCTGTCCTTTATAGCAGATGGCAGGACAGCTTGTGGAACCCCTGCAGCCTCCGGTCACCTAATAATTGAGTAGGAGCAGTATTTTCAAGTGTAAAATAAGCTCTCTCCAGCCCTGGCCTGGTGGCTCAGTTGGTTGGAACGTTGTACCCTACGCCAAAAGGTTGCGGGTTTGATTCTCAGCCAGGGCATGTATTGTTTCTCTCTCTAGCCCTTCTCCTTGCTCTCTAAAAATAAAAACATCCTTGGGTGAGGATTAAAAAAACCCACAAAACCTTTCTCCAAAATCCAATGTCCCACCAAAAATTATGCCTCTTTCTTAGTGATGCAGTATCTTCACCTTTACAGTGGAGGGAATGTCCCAGTTCTGCCCACGGCCAGAAGTAGGCAGACATTTCCTGTAAAGACTCAAACAGTAAATACGTTAGGATATGTTACACTTTGTGGTCTCTGATGAAATTATTCATCTCTGCTAGCGTTGCACAAGATCAGTCACAGATAAGACATAAATGAATGGGCATGGCTGTGTACCAACGTTATTTACAAAAACAGGCAGTGGGCCAGATCAGGCCCATGGACTCTACCTGCCTTGCAGATCCCTGCCCAAGGCTATCAGATTCTAAAAATTTCCCTGATGTGGCAGCGCCCTGCATTCTCCCTTGCCCTAGCACGCGTCTTCCTAGGCCATCTAGAGTACTTGCTGTTTCCTCATCAAATCCCAAGAGAATGTCATCAATATTGATCATGGTGCAGTGACCAATGTCTCTCTAGACACTCCTGTAACAGGGCAGGAGCTACCACAGCCCTGGGGAAAGACAGGGTATGTGTTCCGATGGCCATGTATAATGGTAGAATTTTTTTAATCTCCTGCTTGATGCTGATTGAAGAGAATATATTCAACAGGTCAAGGGCTTCCCAAGTGCCAGAGGCTTGTTAATCTATACTGGCAGGCACTGCATTAAGCAATGAGCTGACTGTGGAAACTACTTGGTTAAGTTATTGGTTGTCTGTTATCATCTGCCAGAATCCATGTTTGCTGGGACCAGGCAGGCAAATTAAAGGGCCTATGCTTGCCTTTTAAAGCTTTAAGCGTGGTCCTAAACTCAGGCTTTGCACACGCATTACAGCAACTCCTTATTGTTTTGCACGGGGAACGTCACTTGAGATTTCTTTTGTCTTTTCCTATGGTATGGCTTTCCATAAGCCAGGGACCAAGTGTGGGAGCTCTAGTTGCCTAGAGTACCCCTCCCTACCCATTGAGTTGGGGAGATAAATCTGAGAGGTCTGCAAACCTTATCAACCCACAGTGCAATGAGCATGGCCCAGGAACCCATTTGTCTCTGGCCTCCCTATGCTCCCCCTATAACAGAAGGCCCACAATGGCATTTTGAAACCCCTGGTATCAATACCAACTCAAAAGACTAGGGTCATTCCCTTCCTCCATATAATTGTTAGTGTTGCCATGCTCTACCTCCACTTCAATTGGTCTCTGGACCTGAGATCTGACCCGGTTCTAGAAACGGGAACAAGGTCTTGGCTTTCAACCAGCTTTCTGGTCATAGAACCAGAGTAAGAGCAGAAGGCTGACAGACCTCATAGCTAAATGTGGCTAAATGTGGTCCCTGGACAGAGGTCTATTAGCCTTTGCCATAGACTTGGCACAAAGGCCCCTTACTGCCTTTTGGGCTTTGCTGCCCATTATGGCAATTATGCTAACCTCACAGCTGATGACTGCCCCTGCCTGGTCTCTGCTCTTCTGAAACCCTTTTATACCTATTTTCTCCTGCCAATCCTGGGTGAGGAAAGCTTCCATTAAGCTTCCTAAAATGCTGGTGTACCTCAACAGCACATTCCTTGTCAATTCAGTGAATGTGTCCTTCGGCCCTTCTGGGGAACATTCTTTTGCTGTTCTGTTCCTGACCCTTTGTAACAATTCATAGCATACCCACCTGGGTCCTCTGATCCCTTTCAACTCCCAGGGTCTCTTCCTCCCGTAGGCATTGTCTCCAAGCTTCATATCCAGCAAGTCACTTTACTCAATTTAAATCCTGAGTCACGAGAGATGCCCCATATTAACCATGTTATACTCAACCAACCCTCTGGTTGAGCAAGATCTCGTGTACTACAGGTCATGTCCACAGATACCATGCAGCTTTTCTGGTAAAATATTCACTTCCTTCTATAGTGGCAACTCTCCCTTCTGTACCATGCTCAATCCTGATACCACTTTTCTAGAACCTTAAAGGAGTATTTTAGATTTTGCAGGCAGGTTGAGGCAAATTTGAAACTTTCCATTTTTTGACAAAACAAGCACAATATATTGTACTACAGGTTTAGTAACTTTTGGGGGAGGAGTTATACTTTTCTTGATTGGGGTTTCCTGCCAACAAAATGACAGCTCATGGGCCACAGAAAAACGTAGCAAGCTGATTTCACTTACCAGAATAGTTTACCAACCTATTGTGGAAAAAACTTAAAGGGGCGTAAGTGTTTATGCTTCTCAAGTCTCTCCTGGTAAGAGGGTCATTGCTGCTGGCCCAGAGCTAAGGATTACCTTGGGAACTAGGGTCACCTAGCATGTTGCCTCCAGACTTCCCATCTCCAGTTACTGGGTTCCATATCAGGACCCTTAGCTTAGCAAAGGAGTTTGACAGGGGATCTTGTGGCATCCTACAGTCATTCAAGGCTTCATAACCTCCCAGGTGGTTCTGTCAGGGTTTCTCTGGGTCTTCCTCACAGCCCAAACCTTTGCTTTCCCCTATGGCAGACTGTTACCTGAAAACTGGGAACATGGCAGACCTATGGAATGGGCCCTGTGCACATGGCCTAGAAAAGTTGCATGGTCTCTGCCTCCCTAGAATTCTCATGCTACTCAAGCCTCCTCTGGATCTTCCTAGTTCTACTGGTGCTGTGGTACTTACAGTACTCCTGGGTGATGCACTGCCGCTGCAGGCCGCAGAGTACCAGTGGAAAGGACACAAGGTAAGGTGGGCCTGTGAAGCCCACTCAATCAGGAAGACTGGAGCCAAGTCTCCAGTCTACCTACAGACTTGTTTTTAATAAACTCTTAGGCTTAACCATTTTCTCTGTAAATATTCTCTGAAATGAAGAGACTACATGATCTTTAAACTAGTGAAATTAGGAAACGTGGGCTACATTATATGGTCATTAAAGACAAATGAGAAAATAAACGGGAAAATTACCAGTAGCAGCTATCCAGCAAAGTTTTTCTCTTAAAAACAAACTCCATTTCAGGGCTTCAAGTACCTATTTGTTTGTATACTGGAAATAAATTTTAAGTTTTTTAAAAAATAAAAATCAACTCCATACACACTGGCTGGTAGGTAGCTGTTGGCTAGTGTTGTCCTGATATGCCAAGGTGGTGGGTTCAATTCCCCAGTCAGGGCATGTACAAGACTCAACCAATGAATGCACAAGTGGAATAAATCAATGTTTCTGCCTTCCTTTCTTAAGAAAAAAAAAAAAAATCAGTAAAAAAATAAACTCCATTCACATTTTAGAATCTTCGTTTTATTTAGTGCAGGTCATAAAGTTAAACGTGATGGTAATATGCCATGTGCAGAGCTGGCTGGAATTTGGATGCTACTTTACACTGCTAGGCAGATGACAATTTTGTAACAATCTTGGAGATATGTCTAAAACCTTAAGATTACGTGTATCCTGCAATAACCTGGAATTGCTAAACCAGGTCTGTACCCTATAGAAATAGCCATTAAATATGGGGG